CCGAGCGTCCCGGGCCGGAGCGCGGGGCAGGAATCGCCTGGCGGCTCGGGACGCGGGCGCTGCGGGGCGCACGAGAGGGGCCGTGCACACCTCAGCCCCGCCGTCGGGCACGTGCCACTCACAGACACCCTGGCGGGCACACACACGCCCAAGTTATTCGGATCACAGGCAGAAGTCACCCCGACAGCCACTCTCACGAAGACAGCGACACACTCAACCATGTCCCCGACAGCCTCATGTTCATTCACGAGCTGACACACAGGGACGCACTGTCACCGAGACAGCCCGCGCCACTTGCACTGTCTTAATGTCCCACACAGGGCACCCTGACAGTTCACGCACAACGACGCAGTCCCTCGTCCACGGACACTGTCAGGCCGCCACGGAGGAGCCACCCATCCACGCGCACTGCGCTGCCACACACACCGTTACCTGCCCCCTTCGGTGTCACACCCAGTCACAATTGGAGACAGCTACACAAAGAAGTCGCTCCGACAGTCACAAGCTCACAGTGACTCACACGCGCGCGCAAGCACACGCAGCCAGACCCTGGACGGTGAGGCTCAGACACAGGTCGCCCTGAGGGCCGTACAGCACAGGCTGTCACCCCCGGGGACAGCCCGCGGCTCCGCGCCGCCCTGCACGCCCCACCCCACCCCCAGCCCTCGGGCGTCCACACTCGGGCGTCTGGGTTTCAACTTCTCAACGCCGCCGCGCACTAATTGGGCCGTTTACTAATTGGCCGTCACGGCTCGGCGGTGCCTCGGATTCAGAGTTGGATTGGCCATTGCCAATCACGGCCTGTCCCCTCTCGGAACAGCGAGCGGCGTCCCTCCGGGCTGGCACTGCACGGAGAAACACCCCTCCCCCATTTTCCCAACATCGCCGCCCCCCCCCCAGCCGGGTCCCCCTGGCGCTGCGCCCGGCGCGACCCTGCGCGCACGAGGCTCTCGCGCCTGGGACCCCAGACCCCAGATCCGAGGTCTCCGACCCTGCTCTCCCGAGGAGCCCACCCGGGAGGCTAGGTGTCGCCGCGCGGTCCGAGTCCTCGTCCCTCGCGGGGAAGGGAACTTTCTAAAAACTTAGGAAGCCAGACGATCTGTGCGTCTGCGGGTCGGTGCGTTGGTTCCGGGCCGGCTGGAGCCGAGCGCGGCTTTTCGTCACTCGGAGCCCGGATTGAACCGCGCGCGTGGGTTTCCCCGCGGCCCCGGCGCAGACGCGCGGGCTCCGCGGCGCTGCGTGGTGAGTGCGCGTCGGGTGCCGGGATCCGCCATCCTTTGGGCGTCTCTCCCCTTCCCCCCAGGCTCTGCGCCCAGCCCCAGTGTGGTGATGGTGCGGGAGGGGGGGTCCGGCGCGGATCGCCAGGCCTCCGGCATTGGGCCTCGCGTAGGTGTCCTCTGGCCCCTGGGGAGCGGCTTCTGGCAAAGCCCTCTGCTGTTCGCCAGAGAGGCGGGTCAAGGCGAGCGGGGGCGGGTGGCGGGCGGGAGGATCGGGGAGGGTCTGGGGGCACAAGGGCCTGGAGCGTCTTCGGGTGGAGGTGGACGGCAAGTGGGGTCTCACGGAGGCTAGGTATGATTATCTTTTGTCCAGTGACCCGCAAAGTTAGAAACCATGGAGAGAAGGCGGTTCTAGAGAGGCTTCCAGTCCGATGGACGGAAGGTGGATTAAAAGTAGTAGTGGAGTTTTGGTTGGATGTGGAGACAGCAGATCTGTCTTCTGCCTATGGCTTTATTATTTTTAAATATGAAGTAGGCAGGGTAGGTTCCAGCCTCCGGTGTGGGGGCATGTTGGGGGTTTGGGGTTTGTATCAGAGTACAGTTGGGGAGGCAGGTGGGGGCTTAGCCCGAGGGCTCCCATTGGCATAGTCTTTCTGTAAACTCTGCGGGAGGTGGGGCCAGTGGAGGAGATCGAGGTCTTTGGGCGGCAGGCCCTGCTTTATTCGGAAGCTTTATAACTCCCTGGCTCAGCATCAGAACAAGTGTGAAACGAGCAGTGAGGGCCTGAGAAGCTGGCGATTCTGTGATCTAGGACCCTTGGCCCATAGCTGAGAATGTGTCCCATGGGGGAGGGGCAGCCGGGCCACCAGGATATGTGAAACGGTCTGACGTTGTGCTTGGGTTCTTCAAGGTATGGCAGGCTGAGGCAGGGAGGCCACTTGGCTCAGCCAGGGGCTGGAGTCCTGTTGGCAGCAGATTCCAAGTGGGCTGTGACCTTCAGTGGTGGTGACTGGGGTGGGAGTAGGGCACCACCGTGACCAAGGACTTCTTTTTTCTGGTGCTGGAAGCTGATGGTGAAGGGTTGAGGAGGGAAACGCTTAGGCTCTAGCCTTAGAGTTGGACACTGTCAGAGCTGAGGGAGGGTATTGAGGCACAAGGTGTAGCAGTGGGACCTATAGACTGGGCTGCACACCCAGGACACAGTCCACACTGGCGCCTCTGTCCCTGAAACCCAGACAAGAGGCTTGTCCCCTAGGGATCCAGGCCTTAGGACACACAGGCAAGCATTTGCACGAGTGATGCTGGTTGACCCTAGGGCAGTTGACCTGGAAGGGCCCTTGGCGACCATCCCCTTGGCGACCATCCCCTTGGTGACTGTCCCCTTAGCAATCTTCTATGGAGATTCCCAGCCTCTTTAAACCAAAGTCATGAGTGGTGGTTATTCTTTTGGCGTCTTTTGTTTGAGAAGATATGCAATGAAAAAAGCCACTAGGATTTCATTTTTGCTTTGAAATAGATGTGCATTTTATTAATCACAATAATATTAGCATATATTAGAAAAATAGCTTACCAGATATGAAGCAGGCACATTAATTATTTAATGTAATAACAGTGCTTACTGAGCACAGGGGCTTGCAGCCCTGTGATCCCCACGATCTGTTTCCCCATGCTGGAAACCACTGATCCCCTCTTTTTTTGCTTTACAGAAGGGGAAAGTGGGTCATGGAGTGGTTTATTCACAGCTTCCGTATCAAGTGAAGAGCTGAGCTGAGGCCTGGACCCAAGTTCCTTGACTCCCAGCTGGACATTAGTCTGTGCTCCCCATGAGTCTCTGTATTGGGAGTTGGGAGACTGTGACGTCTTTCCTAGGGAAAAAATGATAGTCATAACTTCAGATTTTGGCAAGGTATTCTACCAGGCTAGGGGGCTGCTGGGGGCTCCCCACTCACCTATGGCAGAATTCTGTAATCTGACTATTGGAATTGGACAAACCTGGGATTATGTCTCCGTTTGTAGCTTTGTGACATAGGACAAGTGATTTTTAGTTCATTTTCTATTGAGATACAATTTAACGCAACAAAATGCAGGTTTTAGGTGTGCAGGTCCATGAGTTTTGACCAATATAAACACTCATGTAACCACCATTTCTTTTTTTCTCTTTTACTAAGGTGCTTGGTTTTATTTCATTTTAATTTATTTTTATTAGTACATGTTTGCAGTACATAATGATTACATCCTAGATACAGAATATTTCCATCACCCCACAAAGGCCCTTTCCAAGTCAGCACCTTTGCCCCTACTCCCAGATGCAACTTCTTATCTGATTTCTATGATCAGTGCTTTATTTAAGTCAATTTTGGTATATTAACTATATTTACATTCTAGAATTTCATATGTAGCATAAACTTTTGGATCTGGCTTTTTTATTTTATTATTTATCCATGGTTGTGTGGACCTGTAGTTTGTTCCATTTTATTGCTGAGTAATATTACATTGTAGGAGTACAGTGCATTTGGTGTGTCCGTCCACCTGCTGGAGGACCTTTGCGTTTGTTTCCATGTTGGGGTACTATAAATAAAGCTGCTGTGAGCATCCTTATACATCTCTTTGTGGGCAGGACAAGCTATTCAGTATCTCTGAGCCTTGATATCCCTTGAGGACATTGCCTATCTCTGAGGTTCAGGTGGGTTAAGTGAGGTAATAATATAGGCCAGGGCAGTTCTTGGCACATACTAGCTACTAATTAGATAATGACAGTATCAGCCATCTGGGCTCTTCTGAACATCTACATCTGTGGTCCAAATATCTCCTAAGGCCAAACTGGGTGCCACCTTTTCCACGAAGTTCTCTGTGGCCAGCAACCATCTTTCTTTTTCCAGGTTCCCCCAAAGACTCACATTGCTGCCTTCAAATGCTTATATATCAGTGTAGGAAGACATAAATATTATGGGTATTAAGACATAAAAAATATGGGTATTAAGATTGATAGTAATGCACTTTGGAAAAATAGGAAGCAGAGAAGAGGTTGGGGGAGCCCAGGGCCTGGGGCTTATTTGGGCTGCTAGGGAGGTTGGGGAAGGCTTTCTGATCCAGACCAGCGTTTTGTAAATTGTTGTACAT